AAAAACTGTGGCATCGACATCGAGAACTGGGAAGCCCTGGCCCTTGAGCACTCTAACTGGACGTAAACTGTGACCAGCAGTGCTGTGGAATTTGATAGGGCATAAATGAGGGGTGAAAGGGAGAAACGTGTCAAGAAGAAGGTGCATCAAGCCAACCCTGACCGGGACCATCTTCCACCAGGAAACCGATATCCTCACTGCGGGAGGACATGCAGATCAAGAATAGGGCTCCACAGCTACCTACGGACCCACCGCCAAGACACCACATCTGAAGGACCATCATCCTTGAGCTACCAGGGATCGCCTAAGTAAGTAAGGCGTTGGTCAGGATGTGATGGTGGATGGGAGAGAAAAAGGGTATCCATTAAATCCCATATTGCCTACTCTTGATATAGAATCCTAGAGCTGGAAGAGACGCCCAAGGGCTATCCAGTCCAACTCCCTGCTATGCAAGAAGGCACCATCAAAGCACTCCTGATAGATAGCCTCTGCAAAAAAGCCTCCAGAGAAGGAGACTCTACCACACTCCCAGGCAGCCGATGCCACTCTCTAACAGCTTTTACTCTCAGGAAGTTCTTCCTAATCTTTTCAGTTGACTCTCTTTCCCTACCCTTTGAATCCATTGCATTCTTGTGTCCTGGTCTCTAGAACAGCAGAGAGTCAATTTTTCCCCTCCTCTCCAATGGGACACCCTTGTAAATCTTGAAACATGGTTCTCACGTTCCCTCTCTACCTTCTCTTCTGCCAGCTAAACATCCCCCAGGAGGAAAGGAGGGTGAAAAATGAGAAGGAAAGAAGAAAGAAAGGGAGGAAGAGCAGGATGGAAGGGTGGAAGGGAACGGAAAGGAGGGAGGGAGAAAAGAGAGAAGAAAGGAAGACAAAAGGGAAGGAAGGAAGACAAAAGGGAAGGAAGGGATGGAAGGAGAAAGAGGGAAGGAAGAGGTGGAAGGGAAGGAAGGAGGAAGGGAGAAAGAGGGAGGAAAGGGAGGGAGGGAAGGTAGGAGGAAAGAAGGAAAGAGAGAAGGAAGGAAGGATAAGATGGTGAGAGAAAGGAACGCCTGAGAAAAGAGCCCAAGGGGTTGCATCCGGCCCCTGGGCCTGGGTTTCCCATACCTGATCTACACTATAGGTGTGTTTGACACTACGCCAATGGTGTCAGTGCTATGGAATCCTGGGATTTATAGTTTGGCAAGGCACCAGCACTCTTTGTCAGAGAAGACTAGAGACCTTGTAAAACTCCAGTTCGCAGAATTCCAAAGCACCTAGCCATGGCAGTGAAAGTGGTGTCAAACTGCATTCAATCTAGAGTAGATGACCCCAAAGAGAGGCAAATATGTGTGGGTGCATATAGAAGTTCCTTTTTCTGTGTTTAAGGAACAATATCCTTGATCACTAATGGGATTTTGTGGGGGGGGCGCACAAATTCCACCTCTCCTCAGCTATACATAATCAATTCATCTGAATGGAGTGGAAAACAATGATGCCCATATGTATTTCCTTAACCACATTGGTGGATATATCCAACATCTATATAAATAAAAATGTAATGTTCGTTTGTGGGATTAACAGAACTCAAAAACCACTGGATGAATTGACACCAAATTTGGACACAAGACACCTATCAGGCCAACGAGTAACCATCACTCATAAAAACACTGGGAAACACAGCAGAAGAGACTTAAAAAGCCAAAAAATAAAAAATACATTACAATGCATGCGCAAAACCACACACATATACACAAACACACATATATGCACATATACACACACAAAACACATATACACAGACTGGGCCACAGCAACGCATGGCAGGGGACGGCTAGTTCAATAATATTTCTGGAATGCTGATTACTTCACAACCCTTGCAGTAACTCAAAGAGTACAAGGTCATCATTTCCATTTTACAAGTGGGAACTAATGCATTGCTGAGGCACCACAAATTAAATCATAGCCACCTCAATGAATAGTATGACTAAGCTGGGTTCAGGCAGCCCTTCCTTGATTATATCCCACACACTATTCACTGAATGACTTAATATCCCCTGGGGATACTCTCAGGAACATCTGCTGGTCGCAACGGCACTGTCCCGCCCTTGTGGGTCTGGACACACTCCCCAGTCCCCCTGGGTCCAGCCATCTGCAGGGAGAGTCCGAGATAAGCAGAGCTGGAAACTCCTGAAGACCATAAGCTGAGATCTTCAGATATGAAAGAGAGGGAGGGAGAGGGAAAGATAATCGCTGGTGCTATCCTCGCCCTACAATAAAGACGGCTGATTGTCAGAAACAGCTTGCAATGAGATGGAAAAACCCTGCAAGTCAGCAGCATTACAAAAAAAAAGTCTAACATTGGAAAGGTTTCAGTACATGTCCCAGATCTATGGTTTCATTTATCCATATCTGAAAAAAGATGCAATCTCCAGGCATTTTCTAGGTCCTCTAGCATGACACTAGGAGCCTCCAGTGGCGCAGTGGTTTAAACCCTTGTGCCAATAGGATTGAAGACCAATAGACTGGACATTTGAATCCGGGGAGAGCGCGGATGAGCTCCCTCTGTCAGCTCCAGCTCTTCATGCAGGGACATGTGAGAAGCCTCCCACAAAGATGGTAAAACATCAAACATCTGGATGTCTCCTAGGCAACATCCATGGAGACGGCCAATTCTCTCACACCAGAAGCAACTTGCAGTTTCTCAAGTTGCTCCTGACGCAAAAAAGCATGACACTATTATATTCTTGGACCAGAAGTCTTTAATTTCATAATGGTTCACTATTACCCCCAAATGACTACAATACAAGTATCTCCAAGCATTTTCTATGTCCTCCACTATGGTTTTCTTGGGCCAGAACACTTTCAATTCCATAGGGTTTACTATTATCCACAATTTTGCAAGTCTACACAAAGTCCAGGAAAATAATAAAATGCAGACCTTTCCAAACTGTGTGTTGTGTCACTTTAGTGTGCCCGCAGCAGTGTATAGGTGTGTTATGCAAATGTAACAAGAAACCTCTCAGTCTATGTGAAACAAACAATACATCAAATATTATTTGAAATATAAAGGAAAGACATGCTATGTCCCTATACATTTTGTTATTACAATCCATGCATGTGCCCATATCTCTTATAAGATATCAGTTTAACCTCCGGTTTGTAGAAAATTGAATTACTGTGTCACAAAATGATGCATGTCTAAAAAATGTGTCACCAACATGAAATGTTTGGAAAGCTCTGTCTGAACGTATTAGGTGTTATCTGGAATAAGCTTTCATGGGCTGCAGACCACTTCATCAGAAACAGTGACTACTTCTGTTGGCAGATTTATATGCATCCTGGGAGAGAGGCAGAATGTGGGCTGAAGTGAAATGCAAAATATACAAACACTGATTATTATCTTAACAGGAATTCTTAGGGGTGGAATATAAGATTTACAGTCTAATGTGGTCTTTTGCTCTCTCTCTCTCTCTATATATATATATAGGGAGAGAGCAAAATATAGAGACACTGCAAAATATAGAAACACTGATTATTATCCTAACAGGAATTCTTAGGGGTGGAATATAAGATTTACACTCTATCACAATCTTTTTCTCTATATATATATGTGTGTGTTTTACTCTGAGATGTTTCTGTAATGGATTCTTGTTGTACTTACTGCATATGACTAATGTTTGAATTATTTTATATTGTGTCAATATTGAAACATCATCCATACAAAAGTGTAAGAAAAGAATACAAACACCAATTCCTATTCAGTAACAACAAAAGTGTGCAAAAGCACATCGCAGCTCATACAGCTTGGGAGTGATCCTGGACTCATCGCTGAACTTGGAACCACAGGTTTTGGCAGTGGCCAGGGAAGCTTTTGCACAGTTAAACTTGTGCACCACCTGCGCCCATATCTTGGGAAATCTGACTTGGCCACAGCGGTCTATGCTCTGGTTACATCCTGTATAGATTACTGCAATGTGCTCTACGTGGCGTTGCCCTTGAAGACTGTTCAGAAGCACCAACTAGTCCAGCGAGTGGTAGCCAGGTTGCTCACTGGAGCGGTGCTCATGGGGCACACAACCCCCCCCCCCACCACCACCACCCCCCATTTGCGTCAACTGCACTGGCTATCAGTTTGCTACTAAGCATAATTCAAAGTGCTAGCTTTAGCCTATTAAGCCCTAAATGGTTCTAGCCCAGGCTACCTATCCAAACGTATCACCCCCTACGAACCAGCACGGGAGACTAAGATCATGAGATGCTAATGGAATGTTTTACAGATTTATATTGACTGTTTATTATGCTACTGTTTTAATTGTTTTTAACTCTTTTATGATGTTTTTGAGCATTTAATTTTGATATTGTTAACTGCTCTGTGTCGCCCGAGGGCTGAGAAGAGTGACATACAAATATAGTAAATAAATAAATAAATAAATAAATCATCTGGGGAGGCCCTGGTCTCGGTCCCACCGGCCTCACAAGTGGGCTGGCGGGGACGAGAGACAGGGCCTTCTCAGTGGTGGCCCCTCAGTTGTGGAACTCCCTCCCTAGTGACATCAGAGCAGCCCCCTCCCTATTAGCCTTTAGGAAAAGAGTCAAACCTGGCTCTGGGAGCAGGCTTTTGGAAACAAGGGCAACGCAGTATTCTGAATTGAAACTTTGTGCAATTTGACCTTGGAATTGATAGTGTGTTTTTAACTTCAAATCTGTTTTAACTCTATTTAATATGTTACACTTTTTAAATTTTTAGGTAACTGTAGGCGACCACTGTAGGCTGCCTTGTGTCCCCCTGTATGGGGTAGAGAAGGAGTCGGGTATAAGTATGGCAAATAAAATAAATACAGGACTTCCAGAACAGAATCAGTCTCAAGTCCCGACTGTTCTCTCTACCCACATTTTACAAGTTGTTTCCATTTCCGCCTTTGTAGTTTATTAACTGGCTGCTTTATCAAGCTGGGAGTGAAGGAGCATTTCTGCAATCGAGACTAACATACATTCAGGCACTGAATACTTACATCACTTTTCCTGAACTTTGCTTTCAAGCTCTTCATGCTTTTTCCATTCAAACTTCCAAACCTTGAATGTTTTCAACACCTAGGGAAAAAAAGATAAAAATATGTAAGTGCCCAGCTATAGTCACCTAAGTTCAACAGACTGAAATTTGGAACGAGAGTTCACAAAATATTCTGGAAATCCCATGTATTACTTTGTGGAACATTTCTAGAATTTATTTCTAGGAGCCTATCACCCTACATATTTGTTCACTAGGAATTACAGGAAACAATACCAAGCTGTAGAAGTCTGTTTTATAATAAGTAAGTCCATATGGCCACATTTCTACATACTAACAAAGGAAGCAGATTTACCTCTGAGTACACATTTTGAAAATAGTGCTGGCAAGCTTTACTTAAGTTTTGCACGGTAACAACTGTATAAACATATTACCTCACTTACTTCATTAGTTTGTGTCATATATGCATGTATATGACACGCAGGCATAGTTGATTATGTGAGTATCAGGTCTATCTATAAAACATATAAACAAGATAATGCGGAAACACAAATATGAGCCCAGCCACATTTATTCTGCATGATTCTACTTCTCAATATCATTCTCCATTTTTTATTGTGTCAGAAACGAATTGAGAATATACTGCAAGCCACTTCTGGTGTGAGAGAATTGGCTGTCTGCAAGGCTATTGCCCAGGAGATGCCCACATATGTTACCATCCTGTGGGAGGCTTCTCTCATGTCCCTGCATGGGAAGCTGGGGCTGACCGATGGGAGCTCACCCCATCTCATGGATTCAAATCATCAACCTTCAAGTCTCAGGTCAGCAGTACAGCCACCACCACTGTGGCTCATCATTCTCCATGAGGAAAAGATATTTGTTTTCGCAACTACCAAAACATCCATCGCTTTCCAATGAGCAAAGTATCTATCTATCTATCTATCTATCTATCTATCTATCTATCTATCTATTTATTTACAGTATTTATATTCCACCCTTCTCACCTCGCAGGAGACTCAGGGAAGATTACAATGCACATATACCTGGCAAACATTCAATGCCATTTAGGCATACAAGATATATAGACAGACATAGAGGCAATTGTAACATTCCAGCGTTTCTGGCTCCATGAGGTTATGCATGGTTCCAGCCACAGGGGGAGCTGCCGCTCCACCGTCCACTTGTGACACCAGGTCCTTTGTTGGAGTACTTCCTCATTCTTCTGCACATTGCTGGAAGGTTTTATGGTTTTATGGCATCGTAAATTAGTTAAATTAGCCTCCCCGCATAAAGCGGTACCTAAATTTCCTACTTGACAGATGCAACTGTCTTTCAGGCTGCATAGCTCGACAGCAAGCTAGACTATTAATGGTCGGGAGCTTACTCTGACCCGAGCTGGCTTCGAACTCATGACCTCTCGGTTAGTAGTGACTTAATGCAGCTGGCTACTAACTAGTTATGCCACAGCCCAGTCCATCTATCGCTCTTACAATCCATATTGTAAGAGAACTGTATTACTAATGTAGTTTCATACTGCTTTAATTATCATGGAATATGGAAGTTGTAGTTTGATGAGGCACCAGATCTATTTGGTAGAGAAGGCAAATGACCTTGTAAAATTACAATCCCCATTATTCCAAAGCACTGACCCAGACAGTTGAAATGGTATCAAACTGCATTCATTCCACAACTTGGGTCTCCAAAAAGAACTGAACTGCCAGCAAGGTCATATTTGCTTCTTACTGTCTCGCCAACCAAGGTGCCAGCATGAGCACTAACCCAAGCAAAAAATATGCCTCCCACCTAGCAAAGTCCTTCTGACCACTGACTAATATCATAGAATATTTGAGACCATGGAGGTGTCTACACTGAAGAATTAATGCAGTTTGACACCACTTTAACTGCCATGGCTCAATGCTATGGAATTCTGGGGGCTGTAGTTTCATAAGGTCTTTAGCCTTCCCTTCCAAATAGATCTGGAGCTAAACCAAACTACAGCTCCCAGGATTCTATAGCACTAAGCTGTGGCAGTTAAAGTAATGTCAAACTGCATTAATTCTACAATGCAGATGCACCCTAAGTAAGAAGAAATCTCTAGCATAGGTTTCCATTGACTTGATCTGCTTCATCAGTTGCCTTTGGGAACAGATATTTACAACAGATATATACACAAACTGGAGGGAAGGGGATTGTGAAAAGTAATGAAACCGCACAAACACATTTGAAGGGTGGTAAGTATTCATTTAAGAATAATCCTGAAGAGTAGTTAAAAGGGAAGAGGTGAGAAACAGGCTTTGGATATAAGTGGAAATAAGAAGCTAAATAAATGTATAGGGGAGTAATCTTGGTCTCTAGTGCAGTGCATAGTATCAAATATAATAATGACTTAAAATAGGCACAAGGGAAATCCATTTGAGCACGCAGCTTGCTAATATATCTAATGTGCCAAGAAACCACTACCTCTCTACAAACCATTGCTAATGGATTAGACTTGTGCATATATCACAATTCAGCAGTTTTGCTTTCCATTATTCCTTCAATTTTGTTGCCGCTGTCCAAGAATTGCTGATGTCCAGGAAGGCTGGAGCCCTTTGTAACTGCTTTTGAGCATATTCTAATTTCCAATATCAGATTTGTGTCCATTTATCTTCTGGCAAAGAGGATAGGCTCTGTCCAACGCACATGGGCAATGTCAGCATTTGTGTGCATATGCTTTTAACTAGCTTGTTGACTTGTGTTAACCTCATGAAGTTCATACGTATTTTTTTTCCTTTCATATGAAATACAATCTACATTGTGGCAAGTTCTTGGTGGTATTGGCATACCAAATCACCTTGTCTGTCTCCTGAGGAATCTGTATAAGGACCAAGTAGCAATAGTAAGACCTGGCCATGGAGCAACAGGCTGGTTCAAGATTGGGAAAGGCGTACGGCAGGGTTGTATACTCTCACTCAACCTATTCAACTTATATGCAGAACACATCATGCAATGTGCAGGGCTTAATGAATGCAAGGCTGGGGTAAAAATTGCTGGAAGAAACATTAACAACCTTAGATATGCAGATGATACCACTTTGATGGCCAAAAGCGAAGAGGAGCTGAGGAGCCTTCTAATGAAGGTGAATGAAGAAAGCGCAAAAGCTGGGTTGCAGCTAAACATGAAAAAACCCAAGATTATGGCAACAAGAATGATTGATAACTGAGAAATAGAGGGAGAAAACGTGGAGGCAGTGGCAGACTTTGTATTTCTAGGAGCAAAGATTACTGCAGATGCAGACTGTGGCCAGGAAATCAGGAGAGGCTTACTTCTTGGGAGGAGAGCAATGACCAATCTCGATAAAATAGTGAAGAGTAGAGACAGCACACTGGCAACAAAGATCCGCATAGTTAAAACAATGATATTTCCTATAGTCAGCCACGGATGTGAGAGCTGGACCATAGGGAAGGCTGAGCGAAGGAAGATTGATGCTTTTGAACTGTGGTGTTGGAAGAAAGTTCTGAGAGTGCCTTGGCCCGCCAGAAGATCCAACCAGTCCATCCTCCAGGAAATAAAGCCCGACTGCCCATTGGAGGCAAGGATAGTAGAGGCAAGAATGAAGTTTTTTGGCCACATCATGAGAAGAAAGGAAAGCTTAGAGAAGACAATTATGCTGGCAAAATGGAAGGAAAAAGAAAGAGGGGCTGACCAAGGGCAAGATGGATGGATGGCATCTTTGAAGTGACTGGGTTGACCTTGAAGGAGCTGGGGATGATGACAGCCGACAGGGAGCTCTGGCGTGGGCTGGTCCATGAGGTCACAAAGAGTCGGAAACAAGTGAACTGAACAACAACAACAACAACAATCTACATCACCTGCTATTTATTGGCGATCTTCCATCTAAGTACCCATCTGCTTACCTTCCAAGATCAGACAGGATCTGGTATTTAGGGATTTAGGTCCTACCTATTACAACAGATGCACTTTAGCGAAAGATCAAGGGATGGCACTGTTGATGTATTCTGTGATATTAAAAGGTAAAGGTTTCCCCTGACATTAAGTCTAGTTGTGTCTAACTCTGGGGGTTGGTGCTCATCTCCATTTCTAAGCTGAAGAGCCAGCATTGTCCATAGACACCTCTAAGGTCATGTGGTCAGCATGACTGCACGGAGTGCTGTTACCTTTCCTCCAAGGTGGTACCTATTGATCTGCTCACATTTGCATGTTTTTGAATGCTAGGTTGGCGGAAGCTGGGGCTAACATCGGAAGCTCATTCCACTCCCCAGATTCCAACTGCTGGCCATTCGGTCAGCAAGTTCAGCAACTCAGCAGTTTAACCTGCTCCGCTACTGGGCCAAAAAAACTCTGCAAGAGATGTATTGAAAATACACAATAAGAACGTCTCTTTTCTAGAGCCTAACCTTGCACTGAGGTTCTGGGGAGCAGACAGCTCTGCAACTTCCCTTTGAGTCATAATGAACATTAATTCAATGTCATAATGAGCATTAAATCAATGCAATAATTAGGCTTACTTCTCCTATCAAGAAAGCCTCAAAGCAGGTTTGGAAAGATTCTAGTTATCTCCTACCAAGGTAGCACCAGAGCATCATATTACTCTTTGGTATGTATTTAAAAGCAAAGATCCCATTGCAAGGAATCTGCTTAGCCTAAGCTGGTTTTGTTTTCACACCTCCTGAAATTATTTATCCTTCAGTGCTTCAATGCCCAAGGTTGTGGATGAACCTTAAAACCAAACAAGAGATTTTACCTACATTTGCTTATTGGTTTCCTATATTACTTCTACTAAATTTCTCAGTATAAGCACTGGTATTTTACTGTTTTTCCTCCTCTCTCCTCCTTCCTTGTGTGTCATGCCTTAATTTTGGATTGTAAACCTGAAGGAAGAAAGGAAGTCATACCTCTTAACTTACAAGATGCTTCAGATGAGCCCTTTTGAATCAAGGGTGGAGTATAAAAGTTATAAATAAATAAGTACATAAACAAGAATTGCCAGCTTGTAGAAATGTTTTAGTGACCGAAGCAAAGGATGTAGTGTTTTGTTTTGATTCATGGGAAGCTATCCTTTAACTTATTCAGTGCTGTAAGT